AGAACGGCTTCCGCAGTATAAGCGTAGCACAATAGAGCATATTTATAGTCTGCATAATATTATTAATAACAGGATATCTCTTAAACGCTCTACTTTCGTTTGTTACATAGAACAGACCAAACTATATTTCTTATGCAGTATCCTCAGCTCTCCACACCACTTGCCGCTACATTGAGCGATATGTTCAGGCGCAGAAAAACTACTTTTATAATGTAATAATTTAAACAAATATCCGTGACTATTATACTTATACCTCTCTTATGTGATCTATTTTAATTATATTTTAGCGCTTTAGCGCTCTTAAAGACTTTTTATTGTAATTTAGTCTCATAGGACATTTCTGGCCGGACAACGTACTGTGAATATGTATCTTTTTTAATCTATTGAGAATGTACGTTGTGTGACACCTAAATAAAAAAAAAAGTCTTCTCCTTCTATGATGTACTTTCAACACACACCCTGTATTCATCAAAACAGGTCGCACGCTCTATCGAGCGCGGGCTATACAAAACGACGGGGTCACGTGAGTTGTCAAGCGCGCTCAATTCAGACAGGGCTGACAGGTATTGTCTGTCTATTCAGGGCAGCACCCTATACATAGCTCTATTCATTACACTTTGCTTTTGTTTTTCACGTCTTATAAAGGGTTTTCTAGAAGATTGCACGACTGCATTAAAACACACACCTTTCATTGACCTTTCCTGACCTGTGATGTCCTGTCTATCTCGTACCTGACTCTGACCACGTGACTTGGATGAGCCAATGAAATTTCCTTAACCTTCCCTCCACCAAAAGGGGTGTCTGGCGACCCCTATAATACTACTAGCACATCATCAGTATATGCATTTGTTCTCATTCCAAACACAGTAAGTTGCAGGTCCAATTTCATGTTGTGAACATGTTGACATTTATCATTCAATGTTTCTAGAAAACAATTCCAAAAGGCTTGCACATGTTCACAATACCAAAACAAGTGGGGGATTGTTTCAACCTTACATTGACAAAAGGCACATAAGTTGCTTTCAGCTAATTTGATCTTAAATAAAAATGAATTAGTTGATAGATCACAATGAAGAAACCATTGAAGTTTAGTATCCCTTGTAGATTCTAAAGTTTTGAAAAATATTTTTTCTCATTTAAGTTCAGCAAGCATACAATCCCCCCACTCATTCATGAATTTTAAGTTAACATCAGATGCAATCAAAACATAGTAATAACACTTGGCTCCAATCTTAACAGACATCAGTTTTCAATTAACTGTATTACCATCTAACTGCTCCAAAGAAGTAGGTTTCATTATCTTTAACTTACTTTGATAAGTGTTCATAGCCATGATAAGACCATTATAATGGAGAAAATTTATGTCAAGTTCAAAAGTGTTCTGAAATTCCTCGAGATTACGATATGTTCCGTCTAAATTGATAAAATCACGAATCTGACTAACACCTCTCAAGCCAAGCAGAACAGAAAATAACTTCTTTACCAATTTTTAAAGGAGAATCCGAACGAAAGCAAAACTTTTGATATATTGTAAAAGATATTCTAAAAGTCACCTTCCGTAATTAAAATTGAACAAAAAGTTTGTAAAGTAGCAATAAAAACACAAAAAACGTGCTCGTATTTCCGCCTTTTACGGAAACACCCGACAGTTAATGAGCAGAGGGGGTATCACGTGACATGACGTCATATGTGCCTGTTGCTGATGGCTGCCTCTTTGATTTTACCTCACAACTTAACAGTGTCCATGGATTCTGAAGCAGTAAAAGATGTTCCTGATGTCATTTATGAAATGGATGTTAGACCGTATCAATACGATCCGATTTTACATCTTGCAAGAAAATCTTCCAGTGAAGATGAAGAAGTAGAATCATGCGAAACGGAGGCACCGCTTGAGTTCAAAATAAATTTTAAAATACACCATATCATTTAACAAGAATACTATTTGACAGCAAAATGTGATACAGTTCCAATCAGCAAACCCACGTCCCTTATAAGTATATGACCAGTCACTAAGAATTATATTTTTTGCAATGTAATTGCAGTGTTCATTTTGTGTCAAATGGTTGACTGTAGGGTGTCTGGGATTTAAAAACACAATAATTATGCTTCAGACGGGGGAAAATAGAAATTATCTGCTACACAAATTACACTGGAGTTATTTTGTTGAAAAAAAATAGGATCCTAGTTCGCATTAATAACTTATCAAGTCTCCACACAAAATCCCAGCCTGGTCGAGCAGAGATAATATTCGCGACGCAGATAAGTTTTTCCCCCAAAACTGGTGAATTATAGAATACTTTTCAGGACAGTGTAAGTTTCCCCAATGTTTGGTTATGGAAATAGTTATGGTACTCGGCCATAGCCTTAGAATGGCATCTTGTCAGCCAATGTGAACACAGAACAACTTTCACGGCACACACTACTGACAAATAGCGAGTCTGATGCCGACGTGCGTAATTGGACACAATGGAAAACATTTGAAAGCAACAAATACTTCATGATTTGCCGTTGTATTCGGCAATGTTTCGAGTTGACTGCAGCATTCAGAGCTTCAAACCGAAAAGAACGTCATAGCGAAACATTTTCAAGCTCATGTGAAATCTCTTACTGATTTTAATAATATATATCTCATTGGTACCTGTGGAACTGCCCCAGCTACAAAATGCCCCAGCAAATTTGGTCATTCATTCTAATTTGGTCAAATATATTTAAAATGATTAAATATATGCCATAAATGCATAGTTTTGTCAACTTTGATATTATGTTCTTCATATAAAAGTTATTAGGAAGTAATATTTCTGATAAATGTTCCATCAGTAAACTCATAACTATATGTATATACTTGTATATGTAGAACAGAATATCAAAGTTGACAAAACTATGCATTTATGGCCTAAATTTAATCATTTTAAATAAACTGGGGCATTTTAACTACCTCCCTGGGGCAATTTGACCAAAACTCCGGGGCAATTTGTTATAATAGATTAGTTCTGTGATGAATTCATCAAATGAACATGGTTGAATCTTATGTGCAAACTTGTCGAAAGCAGAAATACAATCAAGCCAAAATTCATTCTTAATATCTTTGGAGAGTGTACCTGGAAAAAAATTACCAAATACAGCTAAATTTTCCATTTTGGGGGAGGAAGCATAGCACAGGATATTTTCCATTTGGATTCATAGCCAATATCCAACAACTTTCTCATCCAAGACAATTTTAAAAAACTAACATAAGAAAAAGCTTCAACCATACCAAGTCCACCCTTTTTAACAGGCTTACAAGCCACCACTCTTTTGATCTTATCAGGTTTACCACTCCAGAGAAATTTAAATACAATGTAGTACTTTGTTTAATTCATGCAGGAAGTTCCCTGGGGGGTTTGGGAGAGTAAGAAGAGATAATTCAATTTTGAAATCAGTAATGATTTTATAATAGCAATTCTACCAAGTGGTGTAATTATTCATAACATTTGAATCTGTTGAAAATATTACACTCAGGAGCTTAAAATATTCTGGATTCCATTGTATGTTCAAACAAGGTAAGTATCTGATTGAACTGTTCTTTCTTACCCCTATCCATATTACCTGAGACTTATCATAGTTAATCTTAAGACCTGAGATATCAGCAAAAAAGTTTGACTAACGTTACATTTTCAGATTTGAGCAAATATCAACTCTGTAGATATTTTCCAGATAAATATACGGTAGAGTGCAGAGGTGGACACTGAATCAGGTGTAAACCGTTTTGCTTAACACCTTACTTTGATTCAGTGTCCACCTCTGCACTCTGCCGTATGTTTATCTGGAAAATATGTAGAGAGTTGATATTTGCTCAAATCTGAAAATGTAACGTTAGTCAAATGTCCTTAATTCACCACCAGTTTCTTTAGCTTTCAATAATCCTTTTATGAATATTGCGTCATAATACAATAAAGGAGACCAACATAATAACGTGATCGACTACTGAGATATATGCAATGATTAATAAGGAATTGTAACGCAATAATATTTGCAATTTCAGGCCTGTGACCAAATGCATGTCGAAAAACATGTCCAAATCGACTGACGTGAACAATATTAATCCTTGCATGATAGTTTTGTATTTATATTAATATGATGACGTAGAATACAGTAGATACCATTTCATTCAGAATTTTCTTTTCAAAATGACGTTTCAAATGTTTATGAACCTTTGGTTTCATACGAACAGACGAATTGTTTTGTACTGCATACACCTGGTTGCCATGCTAACTATGGCATCAAAATATTGAAATAACTTATATTCATTTTGCAATCCAATCAAACTCCCAGGCATTTCTTTGCTAATTTTCAATATTTGTCACTTTCAACAATTAAATAACCAAAAAGAAGATGTAATCCAGAAAATTCTTTGTATTCTTTATGTTCATATTCAACTAGTTTTAAAATGGTAAATAATATGTGTCAATGAGGATATTATGTTATATTATTAACACACTGATGGCAGCATGAAGGATTTATAGTGAACGTTCGGCTTTGAGGTAATTTGTCTCAAAGGACTCTTCTATTTCACTTACAATGTTCAAAATCACAGAAACAAATGTACTGGTGATGTATGTCATTATTGTCGATTATCAAAAATACTTTTAAATGCGCATATAAATTTGCAAATAATTCATCGAGCTTCCAAGTAAGGAGAAAATCAAGATGATGCCTTCTCGAGCCTTGCATTGCTTCTCCCTCCTTCCGGAAAACTTTAGACAGTGGGAAGTCTGCCATTCGTGTTTGATGTAATTCGTCAAAATGTAATACTTCAGGAATTCAAATGGAATGTGTGTGTGTATGTGTGTGTGCGTGCGTGCGCACACGCACACCCACACGCGCAAGTAATTTTTCGGTTGCACTTTCTCTATGCATAGTTGTGACCCACACAGCGCTGTTGAGAGTTGTGACAAGAGGCAGCGTTCGATTCGAGAACAGGACTTATCGATGTGAGGCGCAAACTGTACTCCGTCTCTTCATACGACAGGTTGCCGACGCATGGTGTTGGAAACCAGACGATAAAACGCTGACAGGCGTGTCATGTGGTGGAACGTCTGTTCGTGTTGTTAACTGGGGTACTGTCTACTGGCGACATCTCTGTGAAACGGACATTCATTGTCACACGATATGGGCAGTTTCACGTGAGTGTCAAGTGATCATGTGATCCATCTGCTCTTCCCGCAAAGGTGAGTGAAGGATATTATTGGAATAGGTTGATGTAACCCCCTCCCTACTAACGGTACTGGCTCGTGACAGATTCAGGACTTCATTCAGGTAATTTGACAAACACTTCGATCAGGTTTATGACCTGACTGAAAAAACCCAGCTGATGGTATAACGATAACAAACTGTACATATGTTTATTGGAGTCTATGACCAGCCGCAGGTCAAAACAGGAAGTAGGTTTTGATTTGGTTTTGTTTATGTCATTGTTGTTTAACTCCGCTCTCAGAAATAACCTGGCAATGTGAGGGCTGTCTGTTAATACACGCGTTTTAACCAGGCAATTTTGTGACTGACTCTAGCAGTGGTTTTCGTTTTTTCCCACTATAGCAAGTGTTGAGTATATCACCCTTTTGTGAATGTTTAAATGTAAAATGGCATACATCTTGGTGTTATATGGGCTAGAATGCACTTTACCGGGCGCAGCCTCGCTGCTCCCTTTATGATCCTTAGGTTTAGGGTTAGGGTATGCATGTTTTGGGAGGCTAAAGAACATTTTGTTTTGTTTCACAATTATCTCATGAACAATTGTAAAACATGTCAGTAACTTATTAAAGAAAAATGTGTCTTGTCTTAAACACAAGTCATCCCCCGAGAATTTGCAATGTATGTGTGATGCATCCTGCCTCATTGCAGTGAGACTAAACATATATGACATATAATATATAATAGTGTTGGGAATTGATTGCAATCTCACAATTGATAATTTGTTCATTACTAGCGAGCAATCATCGAAAAATAATTGGTTAGCGTCATTTCTCAGATTTTCCTATTCAGGTGTTATTGCAGATAAGTATAACATGGTTCTGTGTTGTTTTTTTGTTTTATTTAGAAACTGTGCAAATTGCTCTTAAAATGTTGCAACTTGCCACTTTAAAGTGATGACTAATATATCATGAACATAAACTTCCTGGAGTCTTCAAGAAATATTCAGTCATGACTTTTCAGTAAATGAAGTGAGTTTTCTAAGAGTTAAACACATATTCAGGCCCTGGCAACTTCTAAGATATGTTCCATTGTCAAGAGTTTCAAACACTTAAACAGTAGTTCCAAAATCGTTTGTGTTTGATAATGAGAAAATGTGATCGATTGCGTGGTCATTTAATCACTGCGACCAATCTTTGATTATTTTAATTTATTGGAACACCACTAATATATAATAAGCATAAAATCTGGTGATGATAATCTTTCATCACATCTTAGTATTAAGGCCAAAATGAAAAATGATCTTTTACTTGGCAATAGACAGTGACTTTTATAATCCAGTTATACATTGAAGTCATTAGCTATTGCAGCATTTGGGTACAATGTCATGCATAAAACAAGTGTGCAAAGCCCTGTCCACCCAATCCTGTACATCTGCTTAGAGGACAAGCACATAAGTATGTGCGTCTGTGTGTGTGCATGCATGCACCGGACTAACAATCACACACAGAGACAGTAGTAGTTGTAGTAGTATTTGCGGCTTGCGTAGTAGTAGTACGGGTGTAGGTGAATTCATAGACCAGACTGGTTCGTAGACGTGGAAATGTGGTGGATTCGTAGGCAGATTGAGCGGTTGATTCGTAGACGTTAGTAAAATGGGAAAACTTCAACATCATTGATGATAAAAATCAATATTATGACTTTAGTGTAAACCAAAAGTGTTTGAGTTTTGTGAAATAAAAAAATATATATTTGGTAAATATGATCGGTGATGAAAAAAACATCAATTATCAAGATTCAACTACGCAGACCAGCAGAGAAGTCGCCGTAAAGAAGAAGGATAAGGTGGGTCACCGACAAGTAATTAAAAAAACACTTCAATATACACACAGTATTTCACAATCAAAATAACTCACCACTTCCTAATTAACATTCACAACATCTCGGTGCAACCTGTTTTCGATGAGTAGACTAATTTATTTTAATCCACCGACAACCTAAATGACAGTGAAAACTGTTTAACAATTTTATTATTTTCTTGTTGTTTGAAAATTATGAAAACAAAAGAACACAAACCCTACATTATCCCATGAATATTATCAAAACAATTATACATACAAATACATTTATACAAATATACAAGTCTAGACAAGATACGGGAAAATATTTGTTCACTCTTCAATCACGCTTTTCTGTCCTTAGTTTCGTATCACTGAAAACAAAGCGTAACAACTTCATTATACACAATCCAAGTGATTATCAAAATTAAAATGTTTTCAAAATACTATTATTCAATTGTTTATATACGTCTATGAAATCACCGTCTACAAACCAGTCTGGGCTATGAATCCACCACGTCTACGAACTGGTTCAGCCTACAAAAACACTGTCTCCCAGTAGTAGTAGTGGTAGGAAGGGGTTTCCTAATCTCGTGGTACTTACGGATATCAGCTGAAAAAATAAATCATATCTTATGAATGCATGTTGTTTGTAACTGAAGGGCCTTCTCCTCTAACATCTGCATCAATCAGCTGCTAGATCCATCAGGTGAATTAACACTCGTGAGCCTGATGATAAACAATGCCATCCACCACTGGCGAAATGAGGCTTCTCCTATTCTCGCGGTATAACAAGGAAGTCACGTTATTGAGTGTATGGAAGAGCAATCCTGCCTGAAAGGGCGGGAAAAAGTTATAATATGTCCAAGATGGTATAAACTCACCAATATTTGTGACATTGCAAGATTTTGATCACCCGTAGACTTGGGCCACTTACCGGTCGGTGATGTAAACAACCGCTAAGTGTCGTGCACAGGCGATCTCGGCAGAAAACGTGTTTACCGTGAGAATAGGAAACCTGCGATAATAACAGACGGAACAATAATAGTAGTTGTTGTAGTAGTAGTACTATTTTCTGCTTGCATATACAAGAGGTATATATACCACAACAAACAATCATGGTTGAAAGTTTATTCAACTCTGTAGAAACAATGTATCCAAACTATGTGGAAACAAAGTGTCCAGTCCTTTGGGAATGTCTCCCTCTGCACATGAGAAAAAGAGTACTGCCATATTTTCCCCCTGTAACTGATGTTGCACCTGGGGAGAATCTCCCACCATATGATTTATCCTATTATCTATGACATATTTGAAGTCACCTGGATCCGGTTGTATCAAACTGTAATGAAGCATTAACGTGCCATTAAACGCTCATTAACTAATGTATTGTTAAATTCTGTTGTACTAACGTTCTAACTTCTAATGACGTCATTAGCGCGTCATTAACTTAATGAAGGTTCTGGGGTATCATTAGAGCGTCATTAACTTCCTGGAAAACTGTACGTTGTGCCAGAATTTCGTTTGCGCAGAATTGGATCTACCTACAGCTATAAAATTACACATAAATGTAGAATATTAAATTGCCTACACCATAGTGTAAACTCAAGTGCAAATACTAATACTTAGGCTGTTTGAAAAATAGACACTGCTATATGTTATCTCGAATTTTGCTATGCGTTAAAAACAGTAAATTTTATCCGCTGTTTATCATGCACTGATAAATAGTACTGTGCTACTATAATTTTTATTTGGCATCTTTACGGAAAGTGTGAACGAACAAAATACTGTCTGATATCTGAACGACATAAGTATGTATTAAATTGGTTTGTGTGCTTATGTATAACGTTATACACTCAATCTTAAAATTGACTCGCAATATGTGTTGAAAATGGATTTTCCTCTGACGTCAATTGACTACAAAAGTTCATACGCTTATAAAGATAAGGGGGCATCACTCCGCTATGCTTAAAGAACCACTAAACTTTGTTTTTTGTTACTCTTTTAACCATTACATATGAAAGATTTGTGGTTAGTCTTATGCGGAACACCAAATTTATTCTTTAAAAACTTGTGGTTATTTAATACCGAGCGATTAAAAGTTGCCAAAAAGTCGCCTGCTTCCCTCTCGCCCGCCAACGAAACCACAGACAGGTTACGTAACTTTGTCGCCAGAGCACTGGAGTGACGTCATATGAGGAACGATTTTCAGTTAGTTGTATAGAAAATGTGTAGCACGCTCATCATTTTGATGATTTCTCGACATCAACGACGACATGCCGAATCGTTGCTTTGTCGTCAATTGCTCCTAGGGTCGGGCGATGGTGTCCCCATGCACAGATTTCCACAGGACCCCACAGTTCGTGCTAAATGGGTTATGTTTGTGAGTGCGAAGCGGCGTTGTGGAAGCCTGAAACGATATCTTACTTGTGTTCAGATCGCTTCACGGAAGTTAAAGAATCAAAACTACTTACTAGTTGTAGTAAAATATGCATATGATTGATGACCATACAGATTTTCTATGACACAACTTGTAACATAACGATTTCTTCCTCGGAAGTGAGGTTGTGGTCGAAAGTAACAATAATATTGTAAGTAGTATTATATTGACACCCACCTCGCTGCCACGAGAGAAATTGTTATGTTATACGCTTTGTCATGCAAAATCCTATTGGCCATCAATAAAATACATATTTTACTACCAGTAGAAAGTAGTTTTGATTTTGTAACTCGGTGGAAACAAACCTAAATACCATTTATCCTCAGACTGGCGGATGTTCCCGACAGGGCCGCCATTTTAAAAATAAAAAATCTGTTAGAATTAAGGAGATTATGGTTTGTTTTCATCAAGTTAGATAATCAAGACTACTTTCTACTTGTAGTTAAATATGTATTGGAATCATAACCAAACGGATTTTGCATGACACAACTTATAACATAACGATTTCTTCCACGGAAGCGAGGTGGGGGTCGAAGTCACAATACTGCGCGCGATAAATTTCTTGCTACATTCCCATGGTTAATGTCCACTCACCAGTATGTAGATACTAGTCAATGTGCGTCTTTATATTTGGTGTTATAATCCTAATTAGTTTATTATCATACTTGTATGCATTTTGAAACTAAATAAAAGCAGACGATCTGCTGATACTTATAGTGAATTTATAACAGAACTGTAATATCTAGACATTTTATAGTTTGCC